ATAAGATCCTTATCAGCCTGAAAAGTCATTTCTGTGGGGTGAGTCAAGAGCCGGGATCAAGTGTGTGGGGATCCCACACAAGAGGGGTGCTCTGGGCTCAGAACAGGGCTAGAACAAGGAGCACCACTCAGCAAGCTCCAGGTTCTGAGAGCAATTTAGTTAAGGTCTCTTTTTAGGGTTCTGTTCATTCTCTTTACCTGCCCTGAGCTCTGGGGACAGTACGAACAATGGAGCTTCCAATTAGTTCCCAACATCTCTGACAATCCCTGACTTACCTTAGAAACAAAAGCAAGACCATTATCTGATCCAATTACCTCAGGCACTCGAAACCTCAGGAAGATTTCTTCTAATATCTTCTTGGTTACCACAGTAGCTGTTTCCTGCTTGGTGGGGAAAGCCCCAATCCATCTTAGTATCTACAAATATTAGAGGGTATCCATATTTTTCTGGCTTAACTTCTGCAAAGTCAGGCTTCCAATATACTCTAGACTGTTCTTCCCTAGGTATTTTGCCCTGTTTACTGTTGGCTACATAGCCTTTGCTTGCTGGCATACCTTACACTGTTCTATCTCTCTGGCTCAAAACCTGAGGTCCATTATATATCTTAGATCCCTTGACTGTTTGGATGTGCTTATCTCTGAAATGAATCTATCTATGCATTTGGCCTAGTAAGTCTTTTGCTTGCTTCCCCCCACCCCCCTTTTAAAAACCTTTCTCCCTGTTATCAGGAACAGCCTGACCAGCAATGTGATTGTGTCTTTAATTCGTCCTTGGTCTCACATTTCCCCATTTTTCTTGTGACAATTTCAATCTTGAAATGACTGTTCACTTTGTCTGAGAGCATAAACAAAAAAAAAAAAAAAAGAAGAAGAAAAAAGGGAGCATAGTATTCCCTTTTTGTGTGCACCATTGCCCTTTATTCTCTAGGTAATAGTTGGTAGGGTGGCTAGCAATCTGAGTCCTTTCTTCTTCTGTGTGTTTTAAGTGAGGCCATCCCTTAATCTAGTCCCATTTCCCAGTGGTTGTCTCTTGCAGGCCCATAACTGGGGTAGGCTCCTTCATAGCCACTTCTCTAGCCACTTGATCTGTCTGGTTATTGCCTCGGGCCCCTGAGTTTCCTCCCTTCTGGTGTCCTGGGCAACAAATAGCACTACAGTTGCTGGCTTCATCAGGGCATCCAACAGATCCAAGATTTCTTCTGATGTGAGCAGTCCTCTCTCTTGGTATATAGCCCTGTGGACGTGTGCTGTGGCAAAGGCATACACATACCTGCTGTCTGTGTAGATGTTAATTTTCTTGCCAGCTCCAAGTTGCAAGGCTGCTTTCTTTGCTGATGTGCCTGGGGGAGGGGAGTAGGAGTTCAGCCCAGATGACATCTGTGCCATCCACCACAGCAGCACCAGCTTGTCTCTGACTAGCCTGGAGAAAACTGCTCCCATCTGTAAAGCAAGTTGCCTTGGCTCCTGGCAGGGGTCAGTAGGAGAAGTTTTTCCTCCACCCATGGGTTCTCCTTTTGGGCCAGTTAGTTGCAGCCCATCGGGCAGGAAGTGTATCCAGGTCCCCATGCTGGAGAGTAAGTCTTGCCCCAACAGAGGATAAGGACAGTCTGGGATGACCATAAATGAATGGGATACCCAGCCTATCTCTAGGTCCACCATTCTTCGGGTAGTCCATGAATACATTTTGGTGCCAGTGGCTCCTTTACTTGCAATGTGTGCACTGATCCTTTTCAAGAAGTTTTTTTTTTATCTCCCTTCGATTGGAGTCTCCCTTCTCTGCTTTCCTTAACTACTGTGGCCAAGATTCTCTCTCTGTAAATTCCTTTCCTGTTGTCTTTCTTTTTCTCATCTCTCTTTCATCTTTCTCTTTCTCTGTCTACCTGTTATGGTAGACTTCTTCGACAACCTACACTAAATCCTTTAATGACTTATCCTGTAGTCCCTTTAGCCTCTGAAGCTTTTTCCTGATATCTAATGGCATGGTCTATAAAGGACACAGTGTGTACTGACAGAATGTCTTCTGAGGCATTCTAGAAAGGCTGTGGGCAACTCATCTGATCCCTGTTAACCTCATGTGCCTTGGTCAAAATTGATGGGGCCTTATGTGGCCCCCTTGAGACCTGCCAATGGAATCTGGTAGTAGGCGTATAGGTGTCCTTTACCTTCTGCCACACTAAAGTCCTAGTAAAATCTGGTCAGAAGAAACCCGCTGTTGACCACAGCCTGTTCAATCGATGGTTCCCCCATGTCTGAGGGAACATTCTTTCTTTCTGGTGTCCTTTCTTACTCTTCAGTCCTGAAGAGCACTCTTGATGGCCAGAACCTACAAGAGTCTTGGGGAAGAAAGGCTTGTATCTGTGAATCCTCTACTAGATTCATCCAGGTAACTATATAGGGCACTTGGTCTGGGTGCCCAAGGGATCTTGGCCTAAAGACTCTTTCCTCTACTGCTTTGATCACTTGTACAATGGTCCTTACAGGTGGCCATCTTACACTGAAGGTGGGCCACTTGGAGAAGCAGAGAGTAACTAACTAATGTGTCCTATGTCTGGACAGTAATGTCTGTAGATGAAAAGAGGCATTTTTTGCCTAGTGGTTGTCTCACCACTACTGAAATAACTCCAAAGATGTTCAACCGCTTCTTCCTGACAGGGAAGCTATCAGGAGCAGACAGGTCTCTAATCAAATGAACATTAATACAGAAATGTTTGTAACATCAATTCTGTGGACTTCTGAAGTTTTTGAAAACCAACTCTCTATGTAAAGCAATTTGGACTGTTGTCCATTAATACCTCTCAGCTGTTTTTAATTAAAATCTAGAAAACACCCTAACAATAAACTCAGAGCCATGCAATTGCTATAGGCCCTTAACTCACAGGCGAACCAGCTTAGAAAGACAGCCTAATATTAACCACCTAAGTCCCGAGCCCAGGGAATTGGGACACCAACTCTTCATTAACTTCTTCAAGCTGAATAGGGGTGTTGAGCTATTAGAAGAGGGGCAGGTGGAAGGGTAAATTGATAAGCATCTGGAAGTCCAGGACATTTTCTGGAATCCAGTCTTCTGGAGGCCTACCTTTGTCATGTCTAATCTATACAATTCTGGGAGACATAAATATTTTAATCATCTTTTTTGAAAACACAAAGTTAGAAGCTTTTTCTCAAATCAGCATATTTTTGAGTGAGTAACCAGAAAACCCTTTATATTGACCTTTTTCCCCCAGAGGAAAAATATAACAAAACAGAAAACCATACCCATTTTGAGAATTATGTGGCACATTAAAGCAATATCTCTCATGTCAACTTGACACAAGTGATTTATACTTTAATCTATTTAGCTTTCAACCGAGAGCAGCCTGCAATTTTTCATAGCAGGGCATCTCTGCCTGCAAGCAGCCTCTTTGTTTCAGAGTTCTCTTTGCTGGAATCATGTGACTTGTCTCAGCGCTACTCACTCACTATTTTTTTTTTAAATAAAAAATATAACTATAACTCTCAGGTGAATAATCTTAAGTTTCTAGTGAATTTTTGCCTGAAATTGGTGTGCCACCTGAAACAAGTGATAATTTGAAAAGCAGTGGTGCTGCCTGGACCACCATGTTCTCACACCAGAAGTGGCCAGAGACCAAGGTCCCCACAAGAGGCAGGTGGGAAGCCACTGGGCTGTTTTGCTGCCATGGCTCTTGAAAGTTGCCCTTCTCCTCCACCAGGTTCTTAATCATCTGAGCTCAGCCTATATTTTTTCAGATGCCCTCAGATTACCCAGTACTGGCCACAGAGAAAGGGGAGCAGGAGCCCCGGCTGCAGTGCTGTGCCTCCCTCCCCTTTGCTGCCAACGGCCATGTTACCTCTTTCCCTAACTTCCCTCTAATAGTTAATTAGTATGTTAAACATGGTAGATTCAGTCCAAAATAATGTCAAAGTCCAAGAACACAGAGAACGACAACCAACACACAGACAGTTCTCCAAGAATACAGAGAAAGACAATCAACACAGACAGTTCGCCCCTGCCACAGGCACAGACACCAGGTTACACAGACAGTTCTCACCCCAACCACTGGCGGATTGAGATGTAACACACAGCGAGACAATTAGGACATAGGAAAACAGCCAGTGGAAGAATCCAGTAGCCAGGTGACTTGGCCAGCTTACGCAGGACCAAATCTAACAGGTCCCAAAAAGAGCAAGGTCCTCCTGACCCCCTCTGGGGGACCTGAAGCTTCCTCCAGGCTCCCCGAAGTTGTGATGATAAGGCATGTCTGCCGTTGCTCTTGACCACCCCAAACACCATGGGCTCCTCGAGCCACCTAGATGCTTGCAAGCAAACCAAAAGTTCAGACAGGTTTATAGGTTCAGACTTTGACATACAGCAGACACAAGGCAGACAAATAAATTGTGATACCTGCTTTCAAGACATCCCTCCTCCCTCATCCCTACAGAGGACATACCGCCTTCTGGTGCATTCTCACAGGAGGTCAATTTCCTGGCCAATGATATAATTTCTTCTATTAATTACAAATTTGTGGGTATAAGGCTTTGACTCTGTACTTCTTTAACTTTTTTTTTTTTTTATAAAACTGCTTTTAGATGATTAAGCAATGTGAATTAGGTACCTATAACAAGTTCATGGCTCTGAGTATATTGTTAGGGTGCTTTCTATATTTTATTTTGAAATAGGTAAGAGTAATTAACAGACAAGAGTGCAGATTGCTTTATATGAATAGTTGGTTTTCAAAAACATCAGAAGTCCACAGAATTGACGGTACAGACATTTCTTTATTAAAGATCATTTGACTGTCTGCTCCTGAAAGCTTCCCCTTCTTGGATTCTAAGAAGAAATTGAGCATCTTTAGAGTTACTCCAGTAGTGGTGAGACAGCCACTAGGCAAATTGCCTCTTTTCATCTACAGACAAAATACTGTTCAGAAAAAAGACACACTTGTGGAATAGTCCAGTGATTGTAACGGCCAAGACAGAGTGATGAAACCTTCGATATTCTGTATTGTAGGTCTGTCAGATGATCCTGGACCAGAAGGCTGAAGATCAGGTGCTCCAATGTTTTGTACTATAAGAGACTGTCCAGGTAATCAGCGGTCTATATAGTTGACTATGTTTCAGAAGCTATGCTTTGTGCTTCCTGTATTTTCAGTTAATTTAGTCAATCTGTATTTCTGAAGAGGTTGAAGACTTATAGTCTCTTAGCCAACCCAGGCTCTTTACTTTGAGGGAACAGATTTGAGAGGATGGTTTTCAGATGGCATTCATTCTAAAGCCAAGATATAAGCCAGGTACAGAACTATAGTCTTTTAAGTCAAAATAGATGACAATATTCTTTTTATTGACAATATTGGACTGTATTGGTATTAGGTCTGTCTTGTACATTATTATTAAAAATTGGTAATATCTAATTGTACTTAGAGGGAAAGTTTTTTTCTCATTTATTCTAACAGAAAGGGTGATATGTAGCAGAATACTTATTATGCTACATTTTATTCCCAGTGGAGCTTGGTGATTAGGCAGTAGAAGAGTAGGAGGAGCTGAGAGAGAAAGAGAGGAAGGGGAGGGGAGAAATAGAAGGGAGAAGAGAAGAAGAGGTTTATCAGCCATGGAGAAGCATGGATGTGTCAAAATCTATCCAGGGTAGCAACTTCTAGCAAAAGGTTAGATATTGCATAACAACTTTAATTGTGTGGGCATCTTGTTGATTGAGCATTTCTAAATATATAAATCCTTTAGATAATCATTAAGCTCTAAGAGTGTCATTTCTACTGGGTACTGAGAGGATGGCAGGTATTATCTGGGGTTCAGTCGAGCTTTGTGGAGGCACCCTGGTGGATTGGCAGAGTCATCCCCCATGCTGGTGTCTCGTGAGTGGGAGTGCCTGTGCGTCTAGCTAGTCAGAGCCCTAGTCAGAGCCGAGGTGCAGAGGAAATAAGATGGCCAACCGGAAACAAGCCAGACCGGGTGTCGTTTTCTAAATATCACCCCTACAGAAACATTCATATTCACACATGTACACACAGACATATGTACACATACATGAATTCATAGCATATACACATGGCAATACAAACAAACCTACACTACACATACATGCCTACACACAAATTTACATACACCACACATAAGTGCCTACATGATACACACATGAACACACACACAAAACTGTTGGGTATGGAGCACTAGAGTGCTCTGACTGAGAACAATAAGGCCTTGGGATCAATCCTCTACACACAAGAAATAAAATGGTGATGCTGGTGGATATTAGTGATGCCTGACAAAAATAAAACAAAAATGGTGCTCAGACAAAGGCATCAATCTGCCTGGTATGACAAGGAGTGTGGGCCGGGCTGAAGCATGGCCTGAGCTTAGGGAGTTCTGTCCTGTACCATCCAGCACAACTGCTTGAGGCCTGGCAGGCTGTGAGAGACCTTGATTGAGAGCCTGGGACAGGTGGATAGCAGTGTTTCTGCACTGCTGAGACTCAGGGCCATCTAGCATCTTTAACACCAGCAACAGAGTTTAAGGAAGTGGTCCCTGGTTACCTAAGTGTGACTTGGAGCATGTGGAGACAGTTCAGCCAAGTGTATGCTCCATCTCTCTGCCACCCACCAGGCCCCTGGACAGTGAGACTCACTGAGGTTCCCTGTGAGCCATGTCCTCAGCCTGAGACACACTGGTGACTGGGAGTCCCACCCTCTGACACATCTGACAGACACCTGAGAGTATGCCCGACTCCCTGAGCTCTGCTGTCTCTTTGCCTACTGCTGCTTTTCTTCTCTGTCATTTCTCTGCAGTAACCACTGTGAGGACAACAGTCTTCCTGTCTCTGGGAACCTTTCCAGTCACTTGTGTCACCACAGGGTCTTGGGCACCACCATGTCATGTCCACAGACAGGAGCAGTGCTGACTCTTAGGGTAAGCTTGCTACGCCTATTCCAGAGATCCATGGAGACCTGAACCCTGCCTGCAGCTTGTCACCAACCTGGTCAGTACTGATGGGTCTTCATGGGAGACACAGAGTCAGCTGTCACTCTGGAACACAGCCTGCCTTATACTTCCTTTCCTTCCTCCTACTTTCTCCCTCTCTCTTCCTGTCTTCTTGGTGTACCCTCTTCATAGCTCTCCTTTAGTTTTCCTAGGCAGACTCTCCTGGTTGTATAGCCCAGGCTGACCTAGGCCTTGCTGTATATCCCAGGATAGCTGCACACACATGATCCTCCTGATTTGGACTCCCAAGTGCTGAAACTGTAGTCCTGTACCAATGGTCCAAACCCAGCACACTCTTCAATCTCAGTAGTCAAGTTGTCTCCTGGGGAGGGATGAGGCAGCTGGGAAAGGGTGGTTGGAGAGTGTTGTCTGAGGATCCAGCAAGACAGGGCTGGGTTGAAGTAGGAAACAGTAGCTGCCACAAGACAGGTTTATTTTGCATGGCTCAGCCTGCCCTGCAGAGCAGGTCTGGAATTAGTGTCCTTGCTCCCTCATCACAGCACAGAGCTGGTAGGGGGAGGGGGCAACAGGAAAAGCAGAAGTGCCACTGTCACTGGGCCGGGGCTGTCCTGCAGGCACCGAGAAGCTAAAGCGCTGCAGGAGGCAGGTGAAGAAGAGGAAGAGCTCCATGCGGGCCAGGGGCTCCCCCAGGCATGCTCGGCGGCCTGTGGGTGAGAAAGAGCTCAGTCAGTCTGGGACCAGATTGGTGCTCCACCCTCCAACGAACCTTGGGGACAGATGGGCAGCCAGGTCACCCACACCCAGAAGCACCTGCTGAGAATGTCATGAAGGCCTCATGCTTCACAAAGTGGCCCTGGGCATCCAGGAAGTGTTCAGGATGGAAGTGGAGGGGCTTCTCCCAGACAGTCTCATCCTTCAGCACGGAGGACAGGTTGGTGATGAGGAGAGTCCCATGGCAGGAGGCACATGGTGTGAACACGGACTGGCCTAGACCTTATTCACCAGGATGACATGCATAACTTCTTCCCTATACTCGCTGCATTTCCACACCCATCCTCAACCCCAGAGGCTCGCAGCACCTTGGAGAGCTTTGTTACAGATCTCCCATGGGTGGTCAACCCAGCGACCATCCCTGTGAGTAATGCTCCATAAAGTGTCCTTTTGCCATTTTGTATGACATTTCACTTTCCTGTCTCTCAAAAGCTGTAGCCTGCATGCCCTGTGGTCCTTGTGAACATGTTGAGAATCATGTGTAGTGATCTCTCCTGCCCTTGTATGATAGTGGTTATGATGAAATACTAACAGGCCCAGGCCTACCTTGGGGATGAGGAAGTCCTGTACTTCAATGTCACGACTCGCGATGCATGGCAAAGTCAATGGAGCAATGTCCCCAAATCGTTGTACCTCATGGATGACAGCATTGGTGTAGGGCATGCGGGCCTGGTCTGCCATCTCTGGACTCCTCACCTGCCCAATGACCTCATCGATTTCCTGTTGGACTCTGCCTGGAGAGACAGCATCCCCTCAGTGAAACAGTCACAGGGGACTTCCCTGTCTTTTTTTATTTGTTTGTTTGTTTGTTTGTTTGAGACAGGGTTTCTCTGTGTAACCCTGGCTGTCCTGGAACTCACTCTGTAGACCAAGCTGGCCTAGAACTCAGAAACTCACCTGCCTCTGCCTCCCAAGTGCTGGAATTAAAGGCGTGCACCACCACTGCCCGGTGGACTTCCTTGTCTTAAAGCCATGTTAAGGACTGAGTCCACGTGAGAAAGACACCAGTGAGCAGCAATGGAGTTTGGGTTAACTTAGTGCTAGGAGCCACAAGTGTCTTTTCAAGTCATCTGGGGAGTGTGCCTCTACCTCTCTCCCAGCCCCACCAAGGCTTACGCTGGACATCCGGATGCAGGATCATGAGCAGCAGGGCCCAGGACAGTGTGGTTGAGGTGGTCGCCATCCCTGCACCAAACAGATCACCCACAACCATGCGCAGGTTCTCATCATTAAAGCTGCTCTCAGGATTCTCCTTGGTCTGGTCCAGGCAGAAAGAGTGGGCTCAGTAGGGAGAGGAAAGTCCATGTGGCCTCTCATTGTCTCCCAAGCAGTCCAGGTAGTGAGATACGTGTTGATGCACAGGAACATGTTCTCCTGGCCTCAGAGCTCCCATGACTTCAGCCCACAGCCCCTGGGTACAACTCATGGGGCTTCCAATCACCTTCTCTATCTCTGCCAGGAAGGCATCAGTCAAATTTCGGGGTGGTTGGGCAGAGTCCCACGTGTTCCTATTCTCAGTCAACAGGTTATCCACCTCAGCCATGAAGTTCTTCTGACCTTGGAAGACCTTGTCAGTGAGCCCTGGAATATGAAGAAGTATCGGGAACACATTAAGAACCTGAAAGAGACACAGGAATTCTCAGAGCTTCCTCTTCATAAAATTATTATTGAATCATGATCACGTATGGTGCTGCTGTGCCACGGTGTGTGTAAATGACAGGACAATGTGTAGAGTCAATTGTCTCTATCTTACATGGGTCCCACATATCAAACTCAGGTCTCCAGGCTTGCTTGACAGGCTCTTACCCACTCACCATTTGGTTGGCTCCTCAGTGCTAGTGATTCTCACTGTGTACCTGGACCAGGCTCAGTGCCAGCCTCCTTTACAATCGACCCAGAGCCTGTCTGTCACTACCTGTCACTTAACTCCCGCTCAATTGTTAAAATAGCAAGAGCCATTTAAAAAGTCTCCCAGAACCTAGTGAACAGAAGTAATATTCTATTCTGGTGATAACCACAGGCTTTGTGTCTTCCATGCAAACAGAGGGTCCATGTTCTCTCCCTTTCTGGAAATCATGATCGTGGTCCACTTCTCCCCTCCTACCATTGAACAGTTGTCAACAGCCATATCCTCCTGCAATTGATCCCCAGAAGTTCTGCCCACAGCCTTGGCACACAGCTTCCCAGGGAAGACTGATTGCACAGAAGTGACTCTGTTGGCTTCCCTGAACTCCTACCTCAGGAATGAAGCCAGAGACTTCTGACAAACTTTCTTCCAGTACTGTCAGCATCCTGATGAGGTAAGGGTCTTCATATTCAAAGCGACGGGCAAAAATGAGGGATGCAATCACATTGCACACAGCTTTGTTCAGCATGGCGTTGGGATTGATGGACCACCCTGGGAGTGGAGATGGAGTGGAAATACAAGCAAGTCCCTGGACTGTCCATATCTCCGTGTCCCCAACTACATCCCTCACCCATCACCCACCAGCCTGGGCAGTGAAGGCATCACAAAGGTGGCCAGCCTCCTTGGTCACCCACTGCTCCAGAGATTTCTTGCCTAGGCCGAAGTTGCACAGGGTAGACACAGAGAATCACCTCTACTCTTTCCACTCAGGCCCATAACGTGCAAGGACCACACCTGCAGACACATCTGTGTGTAAGGAAGGATGCCCAGCTATGCTGTCTCCTGCTCTCATCTACTCTCTTCTCCTGTGGGTTCTGTCCTAGTCATGAGCCTCTCAAAACTTTGCTACCAAAATGCAGTGCATGCCTTCTGGGTAGTCACATGGGTTTCAGTGACTTCTCCAGTAATTGTTTGTCCACATTCCCACCCACACTCATGCCCTCTTCTTCCTTGCTCATTGTCATATCTCTGAAGCCATCTCCACTGTCCACAGCCCTTTACCTTGGGATCCGGGCTTCACACCCATGTACTCAAAGATGGGCACTGCAGGCCGGTCAGCAGCAGGTCACCACACACAGGTCACCTCTCCACAGGTCACCAGCACTTCCTGCATAGCCTTCAGTCTGTTGATCACAACCACGGGCTTCCAGGCCATCTGAAGGCTGAACACATCACCATAGCGGTTGTGAAGCTGAAGTAGAGGGACAGAGCACATAGCAAGTGGAGGTCCCCATCGATAATAGCACCAGGCTCACTGCACAACCGTTGTTAAAATGTGAACGTGCACAGGCAGTTTCTATGTGTGTGTTTACACATGCACGGTTGTATGTGTGAATGTGTTTGTGCATATGCATATGTGAGTCCTTCTCTCATTCTCTCTCTCTCTCCTCCCCCTGTGTGTGTGTACATGTATGCTTGTGTGTGTACATGTATGTTTGTGTGTGTTGCTTGTTATTGGCCCCCATTCCTCATATATCCTAGGAAATGCTGTTCACTGAGCTCCATCCCCACCATGAGGATTCCTACCACTGTGGCTTTTCTTTTAAGTTCAGCAAAGGAACCACAGTAGATGTGACATCCCAGCTGTGACCTAGATAGAGCCAGAAAACTGTCCTGGGGTCCCTTATCATGTCAACACACATGAAGAAACTCTTGTTCCTTGAGATGGGCAGTGATTCCAGAGAGCACACAGGAGCAAGAGATTCAGGCAGCCACTGCCCCTCTCTCCACTTGGTGTCCTGACTGATATGGTACAGTGGACCTCACAGAAGGCCAAGATTGTGTGTTTGACAGAATCATAAGGTACTTGGGATTTCTATGGTTGCAGCCCTGTGCAACCAGATTGAACCCTGCTGTTTCAACATGAGTCACCTCCTGGACTTTGTCCCTCAAAACTTTTGCCCTAGAATGTTGCAGTGGCTGCCAACAAAACAATCCTATGCCTGTCCCCTCTTGGGGATCGGATCCCTATCTGACCTGTGGCTTGACTCCCCACTATGTGCTGCTATGGACGTCATATCCTCAGTTACTATGGACCACTAAGTCACTCATTTGTACATGCTGTATGGCATGTTATCTAGGACCACCTGCAGCAGGTTACCCAGCAGAGGCCAAGCCACAGGGCCAGGTGAGTAAAGAGAAGTCCATCGCTGGCCCTGGTACATCAGGTCTACCAGTAATATGAAGATGACTGTGAATATGGCCACAGGCCACAGGATAGTCCCAGTCAGCAGCCCCATCACAGCCCCACTGCTGCCCAGGCTTCCCAGATACCAATATCCAACACCTAGGATCAACAAGCCCCAAGCTTGGATCCTTCAACCTTATAAAGGAGTGCCAGAATTACTCTTTGTCCTCTGTGTCCTTACTCAATCCTGTATTTTGTTTAGCCAAGCATAGGGAGTGGCCAGTGACATCCAATCCCTCCCCAGGAGGTGAGCATTCTGGGCTAAGCATGATAGACAGATGGGTAGTGGAGCTGTGTTTCAAGATGTATGATCTGATCATTCCATGCAGAAACATCAGCTGGTCTGCTACCCATATACATCTTTGAAGGCTAGAGGACATTGCCTCAGAGAAGAATGAGACCTCCCACATCTTCATGGAGAGCTTTATTGGCAGGACATGAAGGGTGACTGGCATCTAGTCAATGGCTTCAGTGGGTATTTGAGCAGTGTGAAGGTGTCTCCTGCAATTGAGGGAAAGAGTCTGGAGTCCCTATGGGCAAAAGAAGGGCAGTTGGGGAGGGCAGCGGGAATCCGTGTGGATGAGTGAGAGGTAGTGTGGGGAATGCAGCTGGACCATTTGCCATCTTTAGTACAGGTCTGTGATCATCCATTAGATCAGGCAGCAAGACATAAACATGAGAGTTCTCAGGCCTAATCTGAGGGAGCTGAGAAATTGTCTCAGATTCTTCGGGGGAACCACTTACATGGTTCAGGAACTTGTCACCTGCTAGCCTATGTTTCCTATTCACAATTGGTGTGTCAGTGTCTCCTGGCAACTGTCTTCCACATGGACATAGGTAAGGCAGTTTTGTTCCTCATGCCAGAGGCCTGTGGTCAGGGTGAGCACTTGTGAAAAAGACAGAAAGTTGTTGCCTGAGCGTTCTAGAAAATGGAGGTTGTGTGCTGGGCACTGCTGGGCACACTGCACATGCCAGCTTATCATTCACTGGGGTCAGCAGAGGCTCAGTCCCTGTCCTTGCTGGGGATCCAGACCTCTAAAGATCAAAGGTTCAGAAGTCCCAGTGGAATCTAGGCAGGGACTCTTTACTGCAGCTCTAGTGTAGCAGAAGGGAGGCAGGGGCTGAGCAGAGACCACCTCTATGTCACTGGTGTCTGTAGGTGACTCCATGCTTCTTGCTGGCCTGAAGCCTCTAATCCTGCTCCCTCTTCCTGTCCATGATTCTTGGTTCTGCCCAAACCTGTGTCCTAAAATGGCACCATAGATTGGGGCAGAGTTAAAGGTCTTTCTCAAGCCCCAAATTGGACTGAAGGGAGACCTGCATGGGAGTCAGGACAGCAGCATGGATCATGGGTAGAAAGGGATCAGAGAGACAATTTACTTTGATCATTTACAGTCCAAGGCTGCTGGGTTCCTCCCAGTTTGCTCCAGAGCCCTTCCAGGGTATGCTCTGGTGCCTGATGATTAAACCTGTGTGTCGGTGCTGGGAGAAACATGTGATTTGGCCTCTCATCTCTACCTGTCTCATGATATTATTAAAGAGAAGCAGTGGTGCTGACTGGGTACTGTTCCTAGTGGGGGATGGACCAGCTCAGGCTAGATTTTCCTGCTTCAGGTAAGTGAGCCCCTTTGAGGTAAATGCACAGCCAGGTGAGGGATGACATACCTGGTGTGCTGTAATGGGTTTCCTCTCTGTCTCCAGCTCTTGGGAGAGGACCTGGATGCTCTGCTCATCCTCTGCCTGTTGGCATTGCTCACTTCCCTTCATTGACAGTCCGTGTCCTCTCAGCCATGGGAACAACTGTGGTCTGTCAGGATCATGTGACTTTAGGGAGCTGGGCTCTGCATATTTATGTCAGCAGCACACGTGCACTATGTCCACAAAAGGAAGTTGGGACGGAATCCCTTGTCATCAAGCATTTCCGCACCAGACCAAAGTGCTCTCAGGTTTTCAGTTTTCTACACACATGTTAACAGATACTTGATCACTGTCTTTTGGACTCCAGTGGAAGAGGTCAGATGCAACCTGGCATGCTTCTCCCAGACTCTGTTTTGTGCACTGTTTATTCTCTTTCCTGCTTTTGATCTGCCTTGTTTTGTTCATATGAGGACCAGCAGTGAGTCTCGGGGTCATCTCTAGGTCTTCCTTTATTCCCTCAGCATCCCAGGAAGTGGGATGTGTCCCACTGAGATGATTATGACTTTTCATGTCGCATTGGGACAGCTTAGTTTGGGCAAAGGATAGCTGAAGTAGGCTTGGGTTGGTGACACTCTCATCCCTGGGTGGTTTCTGTAACCCTCATGCTGTGAGGCCACAGTGGACTGTGGTTCATTCCCATGTGCTGTTACCTATGGAATCTCAAACATAGAACCAATGCTTGAGCTGCACACTCAGTGGGGAACAAAATGCAGGAATTGTAAATATATTGACCTAAGCTCCATGGTAAAGAATGAGAAAATAGTTACAAGACAGAAATGGAAGGAAAGGAATAGAAATTACAGCATCAGAACATCAGGTTCCAGACTCAGACTGGCTAGGATGAGACAAGTGAACAGAGAGACTGTCGCGCCCGCCTCACCAGCAA